AATATAAAAAATTTAATAGTACCTTTTATTATTTATAATTTATTTACAAATATTCTGAAACATGACATTAAACTAAATAAATTAACTGTCTATATTTCTGAGATGAGGCATTGTAATTATTTACTTTATTTACATTGTTCGGACTATTGTCCTCATCTTTATTGTCTTGTTCACGATGTTTCAGCCGTTGTACGCTCCGGCCTTCTTCAGGTGATTGGAATTTTAAACTGAACCTTTTATTTCATCCACTGGGTAGATTTATTTAGTTCCATGTGCCAAGTTCAATACCTGGCTACGGCAGTGGTTAACAATACGAATATTTTTTCACTCATTAAAATGGGATTTACTTCTGTTACGTCAATTTTTTCTGTTTTTATGCATATTTAGTTATTATGCATCTATTAATTGTATGAAAAATATGTTTATTCATTGGTTAGAAATACAATGAATTAAAAAATTGTATGTTTACGAATATTTGTTTCCAACTATTGTATGTATTCAAAGTAGATTTGTATATTTTCCCCTAATGTACAAGTGGGGCTAGGTGACAGTGTCTTTGTTATGACAATGCGCGCGCGCGTGTGTGTGTGTGTGTGTGTGTGTGTGTGTGTGTGTGTGTGTGTGTGTGTGTGTGTGTGTGTGTGTGATTTAATTTTTCTTATCTCCTTAAAAGTTTTCTATGGTGTGTTGTAAAGAAAAATTGAAAAATATATTATTAGTGTTCGTTACTCTGAATAATCAACCCCTATTGAAAATGGTTGAAATATGAGTGAACGGTGTTTGGGAAATCAATGGACAATTTCTCCACGTCTTCAGCTCTCAAAAAAGAAGACCTTCAAGGACAGAAGACAAATTCAATAAAAAAAAAAGTCATTAAATATTCTTTTTTTGTCTGTCATATTTAACTGAAAGAATACTGCCTGAATATCCTGTATGTCTAAGAAACATGTCAAACACGCACATTCAAATAGCTACAGAATATCTTGCTGCCGACATGCTTTGCACATATTTTCAGACCAATTATTTTGAAAGAAATGATCTTTTACGCTTCTTGACAAACAGGAATTTGATTAAATCATCAAAAATTTCGAACGTAACAAGAGCGCACGTTTAATAAGCGCTATTTGGTTTGTATATAGTTTGTAAACGAATCTGGCATCGTATGAGAAATTCTTTCTTCTGTGGAATCTATACAGTTACCGTTGACGAAATTCATTTTCACCTGCAAAGATTTTTATTATTTTTACTCTCAATATTCGATCCGTTCAGCGAACTTTCTGTTTCAATATTTGTATGATTTGCTGTCTCATTTAGTCTAAGTTGATACATTTTTACAAATTATTTTAATTATTGGGGATTTAAAACCATCTGGTGAAATGCCATCCGGTGAAATCATAGAGGATAATGCTACTGAATTGCTTGAATAAATCATTTAAGTCCATTTTGCTGTTTCTTCTTTACCCACTGATGACTGAAATTCATTAATTTTTAACTGCGGGGAATATTTGTGCTTTCCACGGATATTCCTGCTGTCTTTAAGGTTTACTATGCTTTGACGAGCTAAGATCAAACCTAGGCAGTGAACGAGCAGAAAAATCTGGCGCCAATTTCTGGATCTTGAAACGCATTTAGGATTGATATTAGTTGCTAATAACGGGTTGTTATGACTCACACAAAAACGGAACCGCGCCCAGCACTTGTTTTTTACAAAAGGTTGGAAAATATTTTATATTGTTTTCGCTATACGATTTTTTTTTCGTTATTTTTTTTTTCATTACTGACTTTAAACATTTTCATGGAGGTGCTTACGTTAGCTTTTGGTGTTGTGAAAACAACTAACTATCCAAAAAAACACAAAAGTTTACCCTGGCCAACCATCTGTCAGCTGCTCTTAATGTCTTCCTTGAGGGGAGTCAGAAAATATCAAAATAGAAAAGCAAAAGTAAAAGAAAATTTGGGGCTTAATATGTTGGCGTTTCTGAATGATTCAGATTTATAAAAATAAAAATTCACATAAGTAGAAACATTTTGAAACAATTTTAGCAAAAGTATTTTTCTTTCGTCTGTTTCTCATTGGCACACATTTGTGTCTCTTTTCTGAACCAAAATTTTGTTCACCTTAGTCCGGATCAATTTGTAAGTCATTTTTTTTATCAAATAATAACATTCCCCATATTGTCATTTTCACCGTGATTAAAATAAATATAAAGACGTAACTAATCAAAATACAAATGAAGAAAATCATCGAGAATTTTCTAATACAAGTTCAACCAGTTCATTTTCTGTCAGCGTAGATGTTTGGAACATGGCAAAATGGAAATGTGAAATAGTAAGATCGTACTGCACTAATCGTACAAGTAAGAACATTCTAGACGTAGTGTAGACTCTTGGTTTTCATTTTGACTCGAGCTCCCCATCACATAGGAAATACTCAGCTACTTCTACCACTAAGAAAGCCCCAAATCAATTGGCCTTTTGGTTCAGAAACCAACAACCTAGTAATGAAATGACAGCTATTAACAGATTTTTATGCCATTCGCAGAAACCAAGGAGCCTTTTCAAGAAAATTGAATCCAGTTCGACTTAAGATGGCGGAGAAAAAGTGGAGAATACAAAAACAAACCGGAAATATGCATTTTACCACCCAGTTCCCATTTCCGCGTCGATTTTTTTAACCGTTTAAATACTTTATCATATTTATCGTTTATTTCCTCAATTCCTTACAATACGAACAACGTTAAATTTAGTTAGCTTATTCTGTTTTGGGATTAAATAATCTGTTGGAAAAGGATTTCCAATGAAGTGCATTAGCAATTCTAAAAACATCGCTTTTGTTCCCAATTAATCAATTTTCATTCTTGAATTAATGGTTACTATCTCAAAGGAAGAATAACCAATTTTGACAGCAACACTGCAAAAAGGGATTGATGGGAATTATTTATGTATGACTAAATAGAATAAGTTGACCTAAAGAAAGAAGTTCTGTCTCAATTTTAAAAAAGAATGGGAAGAACTGATATTCATTTTGTTTCTAAAGTTACGAAAAAACATTTCCCTATTCCCGCGAAAAAATTGACCAGTTGTGAAAGCGAATCAGTCATGACTTATTTTCTTTTTGTTTTGTTTTTACTCTAATGGTCATTGTTCGTATAGTAAATGATACGTTTAAAGCGAGAGACTCAGCTGTACAAAGGAAATAAGCAATTTTGTTTTCGTGTGTTCTCAACAAATGTTAATAAGAGTTGGCTTCTCATCACTTACGTAAAAGACAAGGAATTGGGATGAATAACAGCAACGCAAAATGTCTTTGCATCAATAGGAACACTTTTTACAATGTACTTTTCTTTTCTAAATAAATATTTTTACAGTTTGATGTAATCGCTGATAGCTAAATTAAATACTGTCTCAATCCATACTTATAACATGCGTAGCTAACGAATGATCAGGTTTAAATGCAACAGTTGCTGTCTTTCAAAGATGCTTACTTATCTAACACAAGATTAGGTTGGGAAATCCCGTTAGAATTGAACTTACTTATATTGAACTTAGTAATACAGTAATAACTAGCCCTAAGAACAAGAAAACTTGTATTGTGTCAATTTTGCCAAATTGGGAGAGTTTGTCAACCTTCAAAGCCTTGCTTTTAGCAGCTGATGCCATTAGGGAATACTCTTGGACTCCAACAGTCCCATTTATGCATAATTCATGACTGATAGAATTTTTCACAGAACATAAGTGTAAAATCTACACTCACCAACGAGTAGGAAAAATAAACAAAATGAATAACGGAAATTCTATAATCAAATTATTAAAAGAAATTCGTCTGCGTTCAATTATCATTTCTCACTCTGCTGAAATTAAATAATTGATAATTAATTTTTACTATACTATATTAAACATATTGATTGCATTGCCAATCAATATGTTTAATATTGATTTATCTGTATCGTGTTTGAAAGTTAAAGTTGCTGCGTGCTTCATACCGGGTGTCATGGTGCCGGCGTTCGTACAGGTAAAAAGCAAGGATTTCGAATGTTGATTCTCAAGGCAGGACGTCCCCACTTGTAAGATTGACCCAACGCGGTCTTTCCATTCAATCATTTTTCAGTGAGCTACCTTAAATACTATAATCAGGATGCTTCAAATATATAACATCCGAGCAAATTTCTGGGATGTTTTATTTGGGAAAAGAAAACGTTTTATTAGAGATTTAGCTAGGTCATCTAATAAACTGTTAATATTTGTGATTAAAGTAATTATAACATATTAAAAACTGGGACCAAATAGAAATTTGTAACTGTTCTGACAATACAACCTTAACTGCAGACATTAATTTCGGTTGTCGGTATTTTCTATAACCAACATAGGAAAAGACATGGCCCCGTGAGTGATTAATCGTCATGAAACTCTCCTTTTCTCCAAGTGTAAATTAAAAAAAAAACCTGCCCCCACAACAGTCAGTAAATGTAACAATTATTATGGGACAGAGATTATTCAGTGTAAGCTACTAACAATCGACTGCGAAACCCAAAGTTGATTCTTGGTGTCCATAAGTTCACTGTAGCGAAAGCCGGAAAAATTCATTACAGCTAGAACAACTAAGCCTTAACAGAAGTTAATAAATATTTAACTTCAAACACTTTCTACGATCCTATTGGACCAATTGAAAATGTACAAAAAGGAAAGGACAAACTATAGTTAGTCAGTTGCTAAATGTACTCCATAAAGATGAGATGGCCATAGACTAAACCAATGCAGATCACGCACACATCTTTCGCTTTTTCTCTTTCTCACATGAACTTGCTACACACAAAAAAAATTTAATACCTTTCTACAGAATACTGAACAGCTATCAATAACATAATCTACGTGGCATTCTTAACCAGTCTATGAATGTCCTTTGTGAGACGTAGGTCTTCCCCAATTTTTTTTCTTTTGCCATTCATAGGGAGAAATGGGTCATTACCTTACCGCGCTGATCCAATGCATATGGGTAAAGTCTTGCAGCGCCTGTTATTTCAAAGCCGACACCCATCTCGGTACTGACCAGGCTCGACGTTGCTTAATCGGTGATCTTACGAGAACCGGTGTTTCAACGTGATATGGCCGTAAGCCGTTCTTAATATTTCATCTAAATTATAAGTTTGTGTTCATATTTTTAATTCACAGAACTTTTTTTCATCATCAAAATCAAGTTTCAATGACAAAATGTCAATGTATAACACGTTGGCGTTTTTTTTTTTTTTTTTTTTTTTTGTGTGTGTGCGTGTCTACGTTATTAGTGTAGCGAATCAGCTCGGGGTTTTTATAAACTTCATTCTCGGCAGTTGTGCTTCTTTTGCATTATTTTATTACGGAAACACATTTTATCTCTTAGAAACATACATTTCTCCTGATATCTAAGCGTATGCATTGCATAATAAAACACACATTTAAAAATATTTGGGTGTACATTTTGTCCAATGTTTAGCTCAGGAGATTAGATAAGTTTTTAAAAATTATAAACAAACACAAAATATTTATGAGTGTAGATTGTTTTAATAAAATTTAAGACAGTTGACTATCCAATCAGAAGATATAGTCGGATTGCTAAATCACGTGATATATCAAACAAAAACAAAACAAGCGCGCCAAAATGTAAATATTTTTCTCGCTTTTACAATGCTGCTTATCAAAAAGTGAAATTCATTACGTATAAAGTTTGTTTTTTTCAGAATTCGACTAATCACCATTTTCGTGGCCAGATCATGTTTTTTCCTTTTTTTAAAAAAAAAATAAATAAATAAAAGTAACGACTTTTCATAAGCCTGGAATTACCTAGATAGAGATAGTCATGCAGTCAACGCAATGGTTTTGTTTGTTTTTTTTATTATTATTTATATAGGAAAAAAAAACAAAATGGGTGTGGTTATGTGGGTTAATCTTTATTAGACCAAGGAGCACTAATGACCTATAGGGTCTTTTTTCAAAATACATAGAACGCCCACCCTCCGTTTTTTATTCAAGTAAAATACCAGGCTCTTCAAGAAGGTTCGTTAGAATAAATTTGTCTGAATTGAGAAAATTATATAATGTCTTTTTGGCTGCCAAAAACCTAAAATGATTATCAAGTCTACAAGAGACCAAGGAATTAAATCTCTAGCGAGTTTTGGAATTAGTTTTCAATAAACAGAAGAAATAAGATTATATCTAATGTGTTCTGTTATCAACAACTGAAAATTGTCTGGCGCTGTCGAAAAATCGAAATAAAATATTTTTCTCGTTAGAAAATAGTGAACGTTTTTGATGTCCTAACTACGTTTTAGTTACTCATTGGCCCTAATTTTGGAGTCATGATCAACCAAAAATCCTCAACTCCATTCTTGCAATTTGGAATTGAGTTTTGGAAGTTGCAAGTCATCGTTGCTGCAATTTGTTCTGAAAATAAGGTTCCCACCGAGAAAAGTTCTCTCCCATCCCCTTCTGCCACAGAAAAGGTTGTAATGGACTTGCCTTACACATCTAACCGGAACATCCTGCAAAATATTAGCACACACCTTTACGCACCTCCACACACCTACTGACGGTCTTCAGCAACAAAAAAGTTATGGAACCTTTTCTGCGAAAGTTAATGGGGAACTCGACTCTACACGCAATGGTGTTAAGTCGTGACACCACATTAGCCAAGTAAATTGGCTAATGTGGTGCCACGACTTAATCACTTCCCTTGAGATTGAGAAAGTTGAAAAAGAAATCTGTTTTTATGAATCGATTGCAACGTCAAAATTTAACTACGATGTCTGTTGCTTTACAGTTGGATTCATGGAGATTTTGACCTCAGTACGAACTCTTCAATTAGATGGCCGTGCTGTGAAAGATACTCGGTTTCCAGTTCGATCTCAACTTCCAGCTGGTGAATTGATCCAAATGATATTGGGAAAAGCCGTGGCTTTAGACTTGAAAGAATATTTCCTTGAACTGGAAATCTCGAGTAGTGTGCAGTTTGCACATCTACCACTTCATCCTTTACCGACTACACTCACATGTACCAATCTAACTGAAATAGAGAGAATCCTGTTTAAATTCATTTCCGTCACACGACTCCTACGCTGGGTTGAGTGATCTGTTATCCATTCACCCAAGGACAGTCTGGAAATCAGGAAGCTTGTTGAAGGCTATGGGTTTTGCAGAGTGGTTTTGTATTTCCTTGAAAGCCAGTTCTGTCTGTAGCAGTGCGGGCCCATTGCTCGATACTGTGTTTCTGTGTTTATTAACTGTAATAATGTGAATGTTTATTTAGGTAACCCCAAAATAAGAAGATTACTATGATTCTTCTATTTCTCATCAACATCTGGTCACCTCCTTTAAGCGCTAGCTTAAGATTGGGATCAGGGTTGAAAGATGAAGTCTTTATTTGACGGACGTTTGCGAAAGTTTGATGAATGTAGCGCAACTGTGCCGTGTGAAAGGGACTAACTTAGAGTAATATATTCAAGTGATTGGTTAGGAATTTTGATCTTATGAGAAAAGACTTGTCATCCAAGTTCATTTAAAATAGGTTGATTTTCTTTTGTTAAAATTAGTTTAATTTAGAATGCTCATCGGCCCTTTTTTTAATTTTTAGTGTACCACATTTGGATTTTTCACTTTTGTCTCAACTAGTCAATATTAAACAGCTATAAAAGTCTTTGACCTGTCGTTCTCAGTTCCTTATGTTTTTATTAAAAATAAATTTTATAAGAAACAAAATGGCCTAAGGCGGGAAAGTAAGTAGGCAAAGAAGAAGCGATTGAAGATCAAAACTTACGCTGGATTAAATTTCTTGAAACCATAATGGTTCACCAGAGTGCCACACTATAAATGATTAAATAATAAAGGTTATTATTAATATAAAAAGCATTCATGAAGAATCATGCAAATTCTCAAATGAATGAGAGACATATGAAAAAATTAATTGAACATAGAAAATATATGAAAATGGCGCTCATTGAAACACTTATAAAGAAAAAAATGTAATTCAACATCAAAAGTATAAAAGTAATCTATGCAATGAGCACACGCTACAATATTGTGAAAATAACATTTTTTTAAAATACAAGTTTGTTTTCTATATTTTCATACACTAATTTTTTATACTTTCTCAGATCTTGCGAGAAAAGAACGAATTTTTTAGTGCCTTTTATGTTCAGAATAATGAAATTCACTGTATTACTTGAGCTCTTGCTGACGATCAAACTCATTCTCACTTGTAAGATCAAAACACTTGAATACTTAAACAATTCTTTGGAAACTTTATTAAAGACCCAAATCACATGTGAAATGAATGTGTTTCACATGTTATTTCAAATGTTTATAAGAAAACGTGTCACTGAGATTATTTTAAAGTATAATATTCACCTAAACTCTTCAATCGTGGAATTTCAATTGAATAATATACGTCAGAATCTCTGAACTAATGACCCATTTGTAAAGCTATTATTATTATTTGTATTATTATTTCCTTTGATTTATGCTGTGTACAGTTTTCCTTCCGGGTCCCAACTATGAGATCTAAAGTCAGAAATGGCTTTATGACATCTTCCACTGATCATTTTAGTAAAAAAAATGTTTTTAAAAATAAGATTCTGTCCGTTTTTTTTTATTCAGTGGTTGCCAATACCGTCAAATGAGATACAAGATGGTCAAATGTTTCTGGATAATTATCACAGAATCTACATTTTGGGCTAACATACTTTTTCATGTGATTGGTAATTTCTAGTTAGTAAGCATTGATCCTGTACAGCAAGAATAAAACCTTCGGTTTCAGCCTTTACGTCTGCACTACGTAACCGCTGATGGGTAAGCGGTTTGTCTGCATTATTTGGTACCGGCAGAATATTGACCGTGAAGCGGTTTATCTTGCCATCGTTTCTGTATTTGGTCAATTATATTTGTTTTTGCTTTCTTTTTTAAATAAACTGCAGTCGGAGTATTATGTTTTACCAGCATTTCTCCATCCACTTGAAATTCCATTTTGAATTTGTTGGTTTCCTTTATTACTGCATACAGTTTCTTGCTTCTTAGATATTCTTTGACACAGATTATCATCCAGTCTTCTGTAGTTTCCGGATATCTTTGATGAAGTTTTATAAGACAGTCCTAGTTGCACTAATCCTCTGCATCCTTCGGATCTGTGCACATACAGACGATCAATATCAGCCTTCGGGTGATGCATGCGGTGTCAAGTGAGAAGTTTTCACATTTTGGCGTCCATTCGCTTAATGCCAGCTATAGTCCAATTAATGATGTTGAAGCTGTAATACACCTCGGGTACAGCAAAGGTGTTTATGGCTGATATTCTGTTTTTTTTTATTCAGTTCGGTATTCAATACCAGACGCACACGCCTGTAGTATACCTTTCTTACTTTCTCCTTCATTTGGGTGCCTATAGGCCTCTTCTTGTTCCAGTTCCCTAATCTTTTAACAAAATCTAGATCTATTGAGTGTGTTTCTGCAATTTTTCCTTTCTTTAATGTTACTTTTGTACATTTATCTAATCCGGAATTCATACTTATGTCATCACTGAAACATTTTAGAGTATCGACGAGAGCCTTCAACTCATTGTCGTCTTTGGCAGAGATTTTGAGATCATCCATGTAGAGTAGATGATTAAATACTTTCTTGTCCACTTTGTATCCATAGGTATTATTGTTTAGTTCATGCCTAAGTGGGATTAAGGACATACAAAACAGAAAGGGTGACAAGGAGTCTCCTTGAAAGATTCCTCGTCAGATGATCAGTCAGTTGGAGGTGACAGTGCCTCTTGTGTGATTTAGGTATAATGTATTATTATTATTATTATTATTATTATTATTATTATTATTATTATTATGTTGAGTACAGAGCATTACCGGTCATGACCCCAAGCCTAGAGTAAGGCAAGATAGTAAATGTATGCATTTTGTTTTCACAGATGTTAAGTGATATTTAACATATACACATTGTTTATATGGTCTTTATATTGATAATACTCTCTTTTTTTTTAGAATCTCTTGTTAACACGAGAGCTGCCAGGGATCTTTCTACGTTGTTGTCTGGACCTTTTTTTATATCATAACCAGGCTTTCAATTATTAGAATAGTAATTTTAAGGTC